CTATCTTTTGTTGAGAGGTGATTAGATGAGGAAACACAACATACAAACTATCTACAGACCCACCAAGAAAATCTAACAAAGGCTACGTTCAGCAAAGGACAAGAGGGATCCTCTCACTTCTGCAGGAATCTACCGTGTACCATGCAGCTGTGGACAAGTCTACAGAGGGACCACCAAACGCAGCAGCGTTGCCCAAACACAAATCAAGGAACATGAAAGGCACTGCAGACTACTCCAACCAGAGAAGTCAGCCATAGCAGAGCACCTGATGAACCAGCCTGGACACAGCATATTATTTGAGAACACAGAAATGCTGGACCACTCCAACAACCACCATGTTAGACTACACAGAGAAGCCATTGAAATCCACAAGCATGTGGACAATTTCAACAGAAAGGAGGAGACCATGAAAATGAACAAAATCTGGCTACCAGTATTAAAAAACTCCAAAATTACAACAGCAAAACAGCAGAGAGGAAACAATCAGGCACATCTTAACACCTCTCAACAGAACATTTTCCCAGGCTCAGCCATGCCTTCAAATGCTAATGAAGGACGTCATTCACACCTAGCTTCAGCAGAGAAGAGCTCCTTGCCCCACCCCAGCCATTCCACAGATATATAAACCCATTGTCCTAATTCCAACAGACCTCACTACCTCTGAGGATGCTTGCCACAGATGCAGGCGAAACGTCAGGAGAAATGCCTCTAGAACATGGCCATATAGCCCGAAAAAACCCACAAGAACCTAAACAATCCTTTTATTGAAGACTAGTCATCCCCTGCCACGCATTGCTGTGGCCCAGTCTGGTTATTTATTTATTTATCGTGTCATCAGCAACCATACCATTGTATTACATTTCTAACACAAACAAACAAACAAACAGATAAGAAAAGCACAAATTTTGCAAACTTGGTAGTTGATTAAATGTCCTTTGACCACTCTCTGGCCACTTGGAGTGCCTCTGGTGTTGCCGCAAGAAGGTCCTCCATTGTGCATGTGGCAGGGCTCAAGTTGAATTGAAGCAAGTGGTCTGTGGTTTGCTCTTCTCCGCACTTGCATGTCGTGGATTCAACTTTGTGGCCCCATTTCTTAAGATTGGCTCTGCATCTCGTGGTGCCAGAGCGCAGTCTGTTCAGCGCCTTCCAAGTCGCCCGGTCTTCTGTGTGCCCAGAAGGGAGTCTCTCATCTGGTATCACCCACGGATTGAGGTTCTGGGTTTGAGCCTGCCACTTTTGGACTCTCGCTGAGGTGTTCCAGCAAGTGTCTCTGTAGATCTAAGGAAACTATTTCTTGATTTAAGTCATTGACGTGCTGGCTGATACCCAAACAAGGGATGAGCTGGAGATGTCTCTGCCTTGGTCCTTTCACTATTGGCTGCTACTTCCCGGTGGATGTCAGGTGGTGCAAGACCAGCTGAACAGTGTAATTTCTCCAGTGGTGTAGGGCGCAGACACCCCGTGATTATGCGGCATGTCTCATTAAGAGCCACATCCACTGTTTTAGTGTGGTGAGATGTGTTCCACACTGGGCATGCAAACCCAGCAGCAGAGTAGCATAGCGCAAGGGCAGATGTCTTCACTGTGTCTGGTTGTGATCCCCAGGTTGTGCCAGTCAGCTTTCGTATGATATTGTTTCTAGCACCCACTTTTTGCTTGATGTTCAGGCAGTGCTTCTTGTAGGAAAGAGCAAGGTCCAGAGTGACTCCCAGGTATTTGGGTGTGCTGCAATGCTCCAGTGGGATTCCTTCCCAGGTAATAATCCTCAGAGCTCGGGATGCCTGTCTGTTCTTAAGGTGAAAGGCACATGTCTGTGTTTTAGATGGATTAGGGATTCGTTGGTTTTCCCTGTAATAGGCAGTAAGAGCAGCTAGAGCTTCGGAGAGCTTCTGTTCCACCATCTCAAATCTCCCTGCTTGAGCGGTAGTGGCACAATCATCATCATAGACTAAACTCTCTGTCCCTTCTGGCAGTGGCTGGTCATTTGTGTAGATGTTGAACATGGATGGAGCAAGCACGCTCTCCTGAGGCAGGCCGTTCTTCTGTTTCCGCCATCTGCTTCTCTGGCCCTGGAACTCAACAAAAAAGCTCCTGTTTTGTAGCAGGTTTCCTATGAGGCGGGTGAGGTGGTAGCCCCAGTCTGGTGATCTGGGAAATAAAGTAATGAGAAAGTCTTGGTTTCTAATATATGTATGATGTGGAGATTGTCTGGTTTGCCAACTCTGGAACATGAAACGTATCATTGCCCTTCTGTAGGGGTCCCTTTCAAATCTATGCGTGTGTGAATCATATATATCTATCTATACCTATGGCTAGATGGCTCTTTGTCGGGAGGGCTTTAATTACGTTTTCTTGCCCTGGTGAACGGAGTTGGACTGGATGGCCTTAAGTAGAGGTAAGTAGGGCCAGAACCATTTAGGGCTTTATAGGCTAATACCAGCACTTTGAATTGTGCCCAGTAGCAAACTGGCAGCCAGTGGAGCTGGCGCAACAGAGGAGTAGTATGCTCCCTGAGTACAGCTCCTGTTAGCAACCTGGCTGCTGAACGCTGGACCAATTGAAGCTTCCGAGCCGTCTTCAAAGGTAACCCCACATAGAGAGCGTTGCAGTAGTCTAAACGGGATGTAACCAGAGCGTGGACTACCGTGGCCAAGTCAGACTTCCCAAGATACGGGTGCAGCTGGTGCACAAGTTTTAACTGTGCAAATGCTCCCCTGATCACCGCTGAAACCTGGGGTTCCAGGCTCAGCGATGAGTCCAAGATCACACCCAAGCTGCGAACCTACATCTTCAGGAGGAGTGTGACCCCGTCCAACACAGCTGTAACCCTATGCCCTGTTCGGCCTTGCGACTGACCAGGAGTACCTCTGTCTTGCCTGGATTCAATTTCAGTTTGTTCGTCCTCATCCAGACCGTCACAGCAGCCAAGCACTGGTTCAGGACCTGGACAGCCTCCTTAGTAGCAGGTGGAAAGGAGTGACAGAGTTGGACATCATCCGTGTACAGATGACACCGTACCCCGAAACTCCGGATGATCTCCCCCAGCGGCTTCATGTAGATGTTAAACAACATGGGAGACAAGATTGAGCCCTGTAGAACCCCACAAGACAATGGTTGTGGGGTAGAACAGGTGTTCCCCAATAACACCTTCTGAGACCGACCCTCCAGGAATGACCGGAGCCACTGCAGAACAGTGCCTCCAAGACCCATCCCTGCGAGGCGTCCCAGAAGGATACCATGGTTGACGGTATCGAAGGCCGCTGAGAGGTCCAGCAGCACCAACAGGGACACACTCCCCCTGTCGAGCTCCCGGCGAAGATCATCCACAAAGGCGACCAAGACTGTTTCAGTTCCATGTTCCGGCCTAAAGCCAGACTGTGGGCTATTATTATTATTTGATTGTAGGTGAACTATAAATCCCAGCAACTACAGCTCCCAAATGACAAAATCAATCACTCCTAACCCCACCAGTATTCAAATTTGGGCATATCAGGTATTTGTGCCAAATTTGGTCCTGATCATGAATTCGAAGCCAGCCCAGGTCAGGGTGAGCTTCCAACCAATTGTGTAGCTTGTTGTTGACCTTTGCATCAATAGGAGCATAGTGTCTAGATCTAGGGAAGTCATGCTACCCCTCTGTTCCGCTTTGGTTAGACCACACCTGGAATATTGTGTCCAATTCTGGGCACCACAATTGAAGAGAGATGGAATGTGTCCAGAGGAGGGTGACTAAAATGATCAAGGGTCTGGAGAACAAGCCTTATGAGGAGCGGCTTAAAGAGCTGGGCATGTTTAGCCTGAAGAAGAGAAGGCTGAGAGGAGATATGATAGCCATGTATAAATATGTGAGAGGAAGTCACAGGGAGGAGGGAGCAAGCTTGTTCTCTGCTTCCCTGGAGACTAGGACGCGGAACAATGGCTTCAAACACAATATGTTACTTCCTTCCTGACTGTGAGAGCCGTTCAGCAGTGGAACTCTCTGCCCCGGAGTGTGGTGGAGGCTCCTTCTTTGGAAGCTTTTAAGCTGAGGCTGGATGGCCATTTGTCAGGGGTGATTTGAATGCAATATTCCTGCTTCTTGGCAGGGGGTTGGACTGGATGGCCCATGAGGTCTCTTCCAACTCTTTGATTCTATGATTCTATGATTCTATGATTGTAGGTGAAGTATAAATCCCAGCAACTACAGCTCCCAAATGACAAACTCAATCACTCCTAACCCCACCAGTATTCAAATTTGGGCATATCAGGTATTTGTGCCAAATTTGGTCCGGTGAATACATCCTGCATATCAGATATTTACATTGCAATTCATAACAGAAGCAAAATTACGGTTATGAAGTAGCAACGAAAATAGTTTTACGGTTAGGAGTCACCACATCATGAGGAAGTCTATTAAGATGTTGTAGCATTCGGAAGGTTGAAAAACACTGATTGATAGGCTTGGGTAACCATGGAAAATTTTGGTTCTAAACTCGTTTTGTTTTTAGGGGGCTCTTGCGTTTCGTTTTTTTTAATAATTCCGAAATTTTCCTTCAAAAAGTTTCGAAATTTACGAAATTTCATAAAATTACGAATCGATTCGGTAATGGCGGACGAGATTGCGCAATATGCTAAAAAAACCTCCAAATGGGACAGGAGGAACTTCTGAAGCTTCCCTCTCCGTCTGTTGTCGACTGTTGGTGTGATAAAACAAACAACAACTATAAAACTTGCACCAGACATGCGAAAATAATTACGAAATAATGACAAAATAATTACGAAATAATTACGAAATAATTACGAAATAATTACGAAATAATTTCGAAATAAATTGAAAAAATTGTTTCGAATCTTTATTACTCCTCACACAATTCCTGCATGGCTCAATATCGTAAGCTAATTTAAATACGAATTAATAACGAATTACGAAATTAACGAACGAAACCGCCCAAGCCTACTGATTCACACAATTCATAAGAAATAATTGAGACCGAGCATGGGTTGGGTGCGATCTTTCTTTATTGGTGCAGAAGATGCACATATGGAATTATCACAGCATTCCTCAGCGCGGGCAAGAAGTAAAGTAAGGCTGGACAACGACATATCCCTGGATTTCGTAACTTAACGCTCTCCAGTTAATCAAATAGTCAGAAAGATTGCAGCCGCTGAAGGCTAGGCACACTTCTGCTGGCGTGAGGACCCTATCCCACATAGACACTTCCCTCATCTCCCCGACAAATGATTCACTGGCTGCATAACCGCCCAGAATAGAATCCTGATCTTGCCCCAGGACAATGGACGCTTCGTTGCTTATCGAGTAACCCTTTTGGAGACCCGCTCTGGGCAGCAGCTTCCCATTCACCCACAGGGACACCAACCCCGTGGACGACTCCCAGCTGGTGCAGAGGTGCTCCCAAGCGGGTTTGCCCTCCTGGTGCTCGGGAAGGCTGAACGTAGTTAATGCGTTGCCGACGTAAACCGTGTATTGGTTTGGCTTGGGCTTGAAGAGGATGATGTCGTTGTCGGTGGTCGGCGTCGCGTAAGAAAACAAGGTGATTTCCCGGGTCAGGAGGGTGTACTGCCACAGGCAGACGGTGAAGCTGGTCAGCGGGTGCGGGATTGTGGCCTTCAGGACCACGGCAGCCGAGTCCGATTCAACGGGGAACACGAACACCTGGTTCTGGAGATCTGTGGAAAGGCAACACAGGCAACATTTGTCTCACCAGGAGTGTTTCCTACATCCAAAGGCAATACATTCAAAGATACAGAATGGGGGATGCGTGGCTTGAGAGTGATGTCAGGCACCACCCCCCTCCACCCCCATAATTAAGGGATAGTGACTTATAGTTCTGCAAAGGGCAAGGGCACCAGACTACACAACAAGGGTTAAGTCTTGGTCACATTGCCAAGGCACTGACAACAACAAGGACCCCACGAGGCTTTTTGGGAAATGGTTGGATCTTGGGACTTCTGCCCTTTTTGTGAGAGTTGTAGTTCCCCAAGGGCTGAGCGATGGATTCTGTTATTGATCAACTCAGCGCCCATCTGCTGACTTCTGCAGGGAGAAATGACTCTTCGCTGCCTGACTTGGACTGCAAACCACCCCCGCTTCCACGAACCTTCCCCAGGAGCATGGGATTTCCAGTTCTTTTAATAAATCAATATTGCAATAAAATAATAAAGATGTGGGGTGGGAAAGGGAATTTTTATATGAACTTTGTATGCATGAGATGCCATCCGCTTCCCTGCCTTCCCCTTTTCCCTCTTGACCTTTCCCTTACAAAAAGTGACCCAGGACTCTTTTGTTGATCAACTCATCTGCATGAAAAATAGCCATTGATTCCCTTATCTCGTTTTCTGAGCTTGATTGGCGAGATGAGGAAGTTATGAGACTTTGGAAAGAAAAATGATTGAAATTACAAAGGATAGCGTTGATCCCTTTCGAGGTCCTCAATCCGACCCTGTTGTTTCTTCCCCCAAAACCATTTCCAACAGGAAAACCTTTGTTTACAGCGGTCACACATTGCCGGCCAAGACAAAGCCTCGCATTCCATTCTGGCTGGCAATCTGCAATCCCATCATTTCCCCATTGCCTGTGGTTGTCCCGCCTGGCTTGCTTCTGATTCGTCCATCCTCAAAAAGCAAGGAAAGCCTGCTGATTGGCCCTCCAGAGGCAGAGGGCGGGCAGGACATTTGAAATGTTTTCCTTTGTATTTTGTCTATAAATATGCTTGTAAAATGCCTAGCAGTATGCTTGTGGTGGAATGATTCCTGCAATGCATCCGATATCAGCTGAGTCGCCAATAAAACACCTCGATTGCTTGGAACTTCTTCCGCTTTGGTGAGGTATTATTATTTTTAATATTTTCTATCGCTGAAATTGGCTTCACCTGGCCTCACCAAGGTTTTTAAGGACCCTTTTGGCGTGGTCCTCAGGGATCTCCCTTGCTGGGAAGACCCTCCACAAAAGAGCTCGATATCAAGAGCACTACGTGTGAAAAAGATCTTGGAGTCCTCGTAGACAACAAGCTAAACATGAGCCAACAATGTGATGCAGCAGCAAAAAAAGCAAACGGGATTTTGGCCTCTATAGTGTCTAGATCCCGGGAAGTCATGCTCCCCATGCTCTATTCTACCTTGGTTAGACCACACCTGGAATATTGTGTCCAATTCTGGGCACCACAATTGAAGAGAGATATTGACAAGCTGGAATGTGTCCAGAGGAGGGACTAAAATTATCAAGGGTTTGGAGAAGAAGCCCTATGAGGAGCGGCTGAAGGAGCTGAGCATGTCGCACCGGGACTGTGGCGCAGCTGGCTGGTTGTCAGCTGCAATAAGATCACTCCTGATCATGAATTCGAAGCCAGCCCAGGTCAGGGTGAGCTTCCAACCAATTGTGTAGCTTGTTGTTGACCTTTGCATCAATAGGAGCATAGTGTCTAGATCTAGGGAAGTCATGCTACCCCTCTGTTCCGCTTTGGTTAGACCACACCTGGAATATTGTGTCCAATTCTGGGCACCACAATTGAAGAGAGATGGAATGTGTCCAGAGGAGGGTAACTAAAATGATCAAGGGTCTGGAGAACAAGCCTTATGAGGAGCGGCTTAAGGAGCTGGGCATGTTTAGCCTGAAGAAGAGAAGGCTGAGAGGAGATATGATAGCCATGTATAAATATGTGAGAGGAAGCCACAGGGAGGAGGGAGCAAGCTTGTTTTCTGCTTCCTTGGAGACTAGGACGCGGAACAATGCCTTCAAACTACAAGAGAGGAGATTCCATCTGAACATGAGGAAGAACTTCCTGACTGTGAGAGCCGTTCAGCAGTGGAACTCTCTGCCCCGGAGTGTGGTGGAGGCTCCTTCTTTGGAAGCTTTTAAAGAGGCTGGATGGCCATCTGTCAGGGGTGATTTGAATGCAATATTCCTGCTTCTTGGCAGAATGGGGTTGGACTGGATGGCCCATGAGGTCTCTTCCAACTCTTTGATTCTATTATTCTGATCCAAAGGTCATGAGTTCGAAGCCAGCTCGGGTCGGAGTGAGCTTCCGACCAATTGTGTAGCCTGTTGTCGACCTTTGCAACCCAAAAGACAGTTGCATCTCTCAAGTAGGAAAATTAGGTACCACCTATATGTGGGGAGGCTAATTTAACTAATTTACGAGGCCATAAAAAAGATGCCAGCAAAAGCATGCGGGGAGTGCGGAAGCACTTCATCAGTGTCGCAGATGGACGATGAAAGCAACAGCTCCCCTGGTGGCCAGAAAAAGTTAAATAGCCTCTGACTGTCTGTCTATATCTGTTGTGTGTCTTTGGCTTTGAATGTTTGCCATATATGTGTACATTGTAATCCGCCCTGAGTCCCCTGTGGGGTAAGAAGAGGGCAATGCCCACCAAACTCTTCCAGTATTTTCTTTCCGTCATGGGAGTTCTGTGTGCCACGTTTGGTTCAATTCCATCATTGGTGGAGTTCAGAATGCTCTTTGATTGTAGGTGAACTATAAATCCCAGCAACTACTCCCAAATGACTAAATCACCACCACCCCCAACTCTACCAGCATTCAAATTTGAGCATATTGGGTATTTTGTGTCAAATTTGGTCCAGTGAATGAAAATACACCCCTCAAAACAGGTATTTTTATTATGATTCATAGCAGTAGTAAAATTACACTTATGAAGTAGCAAGCAAAATAATTATATGGTTGGGGGTCACTACAACATAAGAAACTGTATTAAAGGGTCATGGCATTAGGAAGGTTGCGAACCACATAGCCATATAGCCGGATAAACCTGCACTTTTACTTACTTACTTACTTACTTACTGAAAGCCAACCTTAAAAACGCTGGCATAGACACTGAGAAGTGGGATCCCTGGCTCTTAAGCTCTCCAGCTGGAGGTCAGCTGTGACCAGCAGTGCTGTAGAATTTAAAGAGGCACGAATGGAGGGCGAAAGAGAAACGTGCCAAGAGGAAGGCGCGTCAAACCAACCCCGACCAATGTCCTAACTGCGGGAGAAGATGCAGGTCAAGAATAGGGCTCCACAGTCACCTACGGACCCACCGCCAGGACACTGATCTTGGAAGAATATCCTACTCAGACAACGAGGGATCACCTAAGTAAGTAAAGTAAATAGCCCGAAAAACCTACAACAACCCAGTGATTCTGGCCATGAAAGCCTTCGACAATATATTGCCTCCATTGCTCTATCTTGTATTCCTTTCACAGCTACTGAACTATCTATACATGATATGATAGGGTTTGGTGGGCATTGACCTTTAGTTTGGGAGTTGTAGTTCACCTACATCCAGGGAGCACTGTGGACTCAAACAATGATGGATCTGGACCAAATTTGGCACGATTACTCAATATGCCCAAATGTGAATACTGGTGGAGTTTGAGGAAAATAAACCTTGACATTTGGGAATTGGAGTTGCTGGGATTTATAGTTCACCTATAATCAAAGAGCATTCTGAACCCCACCAACGATGGAATTGAACCAAACTTGGCACACAGAACTCCCAGCAGAAAATACTGGAAGGGTCTGGTGGGCATTGTCCTTGAGTTTTAGAGTTGTAGTTCACCTACATCCAGAGAGCGCTGTGGACTCAAACAATGATGGATCTGGACCAAACTTGGCACGAATACTGAATATGCCCAAATGTGAATACTGGTGGAGTTTGGGGGAAATAAACCTTGACATTTGGGAGTTGTAGTTGCTGGGATTTATAGTTCACCTATAATCAGAGCATTCTGAACTCCACCAACGATGGAACTGAACCAAACTTGGTACACAGAACTCCCACGACCAACAGAAAATACTGGAAGGGTCTGGTGGGCATTGACCTTGGGTTTTAGAGTTGTAGTTCACCTACGTCCAGAAAGCACTGTGGATCCAAACAATGATGGATCTGGACCAAATTTGGCACGATTACTCAAAATGGCCAAATGTGAATACTGGTGGAGTTTGGGGAAAATAAACCTTGACGTTTGGGAGTTGTAGTTACTGGGATTTATAGTTCACCTACAGTCAAAGAGCATTCTGAACCCCATCAAGGATAGAATTGGGCCAGAATTCCCACACAGAGCCTCCTTGACCAACAGAAAATACTGTGTATTGTTGAAGGCTTTCATGGCCGGAATCACTGGGTTGTTTTTTCGGGCTATATGGCCATGTTCTAGAGGCATTTTCTCCTGATGTTTCACCTGCATTTATGGCAAGCATCTTCAGAGGTTGTGAGGTAGAAAATACTGTGTGACCCCCCCCCCCCCGCCCTCCGAGATAGTGACCCCCTGATTGAGAAACGCTGGTATATCTCATCAGAATACTCACCTTCCTGGGCGAAGGACCCCATAAAGCCAGCAAAGACGAGGACAAAGACGTGAAGGACCTCCATCGTGGTTCTTTCTAGACTGAACAACCTGGATGGGATTTCTAGCTCTGTTCCACCTTTTATTTCTCTGGCTGGCTTCTTTCTCCTGATCGAACTGATCTCCCCAATGGGAAACTTCATAAAAATGTCTCCAAATTCCTTACTAAAATGGCAGCAGCAGATAGCCCTTCCGAGGGGCTTTCCCACCAAATCGATTCCATCACATTCCGCTCCTCTCCTTCCTCTTCCTCATCCCCAACTTTAAGAGACAGTTGATTTAAACCCATGGAGACATTCAAGATCAGATCAAAACAGGTTTCGTTGCTCTGTGGGCAGATGGTTTGGAGAAGGAATGTTTGGATGGCGTGTCTAACTTGAGTTATCTGCTCTCCCATGGAGGGTCGGGGTCAAAGATGGTCAGCAGATCATGGAGGAGAGAGAGAGCCTTGGGCAATGGAGAAAAAATTGGGGTTGAAAGAGGTTTTCAAAATGTCTATTTTTCATCTTTTCAAAGCCGAAAAATAGGGACATGTATATGCTGGGGAAAGTGGAAGGCAAAAGGAAGAGGGGCCGACCAAGGGCAAGATGGATGGATGGCATCCTTGAAGTGACTGGACTGACCTTGAAGGAGCTGGGGATGGTGACGGCCAACAGGGAGCTCTGACGTGGGCTGGTCCATGAGGTCACGAAGAGTCGGAGATGACTGAACGAATGAACAACAACAACAATGGCTGACCAATGACCATATGTGATCAAACCTTGAAGTCGAGGAAGAATTTTAAAGGGTCTGGCCCTGGAGGAGAGACCCTGCGGACCCACCAAAAAGGGCTCGCTACAGTGGTGAGCAAGAGAAGCCGTAATTTTAAAATATTTCCCCCTAAGTTCCCAAAAAGAATCTCACCAAAGTTGGAAGAAGCGCCACCGAGATGATTTTATTGCGATCCAGCTGGAAAGGATGCAAAGCCGCAGTATTTCAACAAGCTAAGCATAACATGTACACAAATAAAGGCCATTTTTATACAGTAACAGAGTTGTCGAGTTTGAATTTCCCGCTCCCCGCCCTCCGCCCGGCTTGATGGTGATTGGCTGACGCCTCTTCAGCTGGGAGGAGGCTCGGCTGCCTCACGAACGCCTGAGCCAATCACTGAGCTTCTGCCGCTTCGGCGCCTCTGCGAACCAGGAGAGAGGGAGGCGGGACAAGGGAAAACAATGGATTCTTGAATGGATTATGGAAATTAAGGAATGTCCAAGTGACTGACGAGTCCTGAAGGCCTACGAGCCAGCCTTACTATTATAATCATAGAATTAAAGAGTTGGAAGAGACCTCATGGGCCATCCAGTCCAACCCCCTGCCAAGAAGCAGGAATATTGCGTTCAAATCACCCCTGACAGCTGGCCATCCAGCCTCTGTTTAAAAGCTTCCAAAGAAGGAGCCTCCACCACACTCCGGGGCAGAGAGTTCCACTGCTGAATGGCTCTCACAGTCAGGAAGTTCTACCTCATGTTCAGATGGAATCTGCTCTCTTGTAGTTTGAAGCCATTTTTCGCACCCTAGTCTCCAGGGAAGTGAGCCCGAGCGCGGCGGGGAGCCCTGCCTTCACCTTGGTATGAACTGCAGCGGAGAGTTCCGCAGTTCCTGGATCAAGCTTTTGGGACCAACAGATGAAATGTGCCCCAGCAGCCAGCTCAAAACTAGGAATGCCTGCAGTTTCCCTTTGCTTTCCCCTTTCCCTTACTTTGTATCATTTCCCTAATAAAGACACTTGAAACTTGCAACTTTTTATCTCTCCTCTTGAAACTTTTGTATCTTTCCTGGCTCAACCTATAACATCACTAAAATAAACCTTTTTCCGGGCTCCGGAGAGCCGTGAGCCCGCAGGAGGCGCCTCCAGGCGCTCCCGAGACCCCGAATCTGCGTTCGTTCAAATCGCGGATACAGAAACCGCCATTTCAGACCTCTTTATCCACGAAAATACTTAAAATGGCGGATTGCCGCCGTTCCAATTTTATATTTTTCTACAACTAATTCTAAGACTAACGGCTATCTCCTTTTTCTCGTTTTGGGCTCCTTCACCCCGGGAAAAATTAGTTTTGTTTTGAGTATTTTATCTTGCAGAGAAACAGCTGATTGTCAAACTGGCCAGGCTTTTTCGCTTCTCCTCAGCAGCGCTCGCTCCTGCTCGGATCCAGCAGCCAGGGACCCACTGCGGCCACCCGCAGGAGTCCCGGGAAGGCGGCCAGGCATGGGTTCCGGCCTCTGGTCAGGGAAATGTAGTTTCCCAAAGGACATTGCCCCATCAGTCGCAACCCGGAAGCCCTCCTTGGACTCTTTTGTTTGCCCTCTCCAATTGACTTTCTGCCCCACATCCCGGACTGTCTTCTGCTACGTTTTTGGGCACAAGCCTTCAGACCAGGCTTGCCCCGATTCACAAGCAGCCTCCGCTTCCGTGTGCCTTCACCAGGAGACCATGAATTTCTTTCAGTAATAAAATAATTGGATGCTTTTTTGCGGGGGACGGGGATGGGTTTGCCTTATGAAATGTATAAAAAATGTATGAAATGTATGAAATGGAATGAAATGTACTCTGGTTCCCCTTCCCGCTTCTCCTCTCTGACCCTTGCCCCAAAAGGAATGTGACTTAAGGATTACTGTGACAGGGAGGAAATCCTTTGTCCTCCCGAAACGGTTCATATTTACATTTGCATGGCCCGTGTTGATCTCTTCTCAAACTGACTTTCAGAGCAGACAGTCAGGGAGGGGAGAGTCAATAGAAACTCAGGAAGAAAGACTGATTGAATCATTTTTAGGTGTTTTGTTGATCCCTTGAGGTCCAAATACCATTGAAAGCTTCTTTTGTACTTCCTCCAAAATCCAATCACAGACCAGGAAACTCATTGTTCTCCTATCTGTCACCCCGCCGGTGAGGACAAAGCCTGACATTACAGCTGGCAGATGCCCCCTGGGCTCCTCATTTCCTCTGAGCTGTCAAGCTCTGTCCCGCCTCCTGGTTGCCGATTGGACCATCTTTGGAGGCGCTAGGAAGGCGCTGATTGGCCCCCTGGAGGCAACGGAGCTCGCTGATTGGACAGGAGGCAGGACGCGCAGCCAAGCCTCCTCCCAGCTGCTCCGTGGCCAGCCAATCAGGGCGAAGCCGGCCGGCAGAGGGCGGGCGGGATTTTTTGAAAATGTTTCCTTTGTCTGTGTACTATAAAAATGCTTGGAAATTCTGTAAAATTATGCTTGCAGTGGAATGATTCCTGCAATGCATCTGATCTCAGCTGAATCACAATAAACGCCTCGGTCACTGAACCTCTTCAGCCTCCGGTGAGATTGATTTTTAATATTTTTCGTTCTTTGGATTGGCTTTCGCTGGCTGCTCACCGAGGTCAAGGACCCCTTTAGCGGTCTTCAGGGATCTCCCTCGCTGGGAGGGCCCCACAAAAGAGCTCGATATCAGAAGCAGAAAACAAGCTTGCTCCCTCCTCCCTGTGGCTTCCTCTCACATATTTTCCTTGAGTGGCGGCAATAAACATTGATGTTTGGCAAAACTGCCATAATCTGGATTTTCTTCCATGCTGAGACATAGGAACAATAGGGGGAAAACTTTAGGTGGATGTTTCAGTGAGAGGGATTGAATGGGTGACAGATCAGGATGAGGTCCGGCTTTCCGAAGGCCTCTCTCTGTCCTATTGAGATATAATCAAAGTTGCCAAACGGTCACTTCCTCTGGGGGCCAAAACTCTGAGCCCAGAGATTGCGATCCTTTGATATTGTCCATGCAATCGTGCTTTTGATAAGGGTGTTTTCAACTGGTAATTTCCTTCTTTCCAAGATCAGGGAAGGGGGGCTTCCTTATAATTTTTTATACATTTTTCAATAAAGGGGAATGGGGCAAAAGGGTCAGTAAAAAGTCAGATACACAGGGAGAAACACGAAAATATAGAAATCATGATACAGAAAATATACCCACTTATCCCTCTCCCCCTCCCTTCCTCGTCCCATTGAGAAATTGATACGATCTGCACCAAAATTGGTCAACCTGACACCAAATCGGGAGAGATACTAATAGCCCAAAGACAGGATCACGATCCAAAATGACCTTCACAGATTGGCCATTCAATAACAGCCCCCCCCCCCCCCGCAACCCCACCAGTATTCAATGTTGGCCAAGTTTGGTGCAGATCCATTGCGGGCTGGGTTCAGAATGCTCTTTGATTGTAGGTAAACTATAAATCCCAGCAACTACATCTCCCAAATGTCAAGGTCTATTTTCCCTAAACTCTACCAGTGTTCACTTTGGGCATATTGAGTATTCGTGCCAAGTCTGGTCCTGATCCATCACTGTTTGAGTTCACAGTGCTCTCTGGATATAGGTGAACTACAACTCCCAAACTCAAGGTCAATGCCCACCAAATTGTCCCAGTATTTTCTGTTGGTCATGGAAGTTCTGTGTGCCAACTTTGGCCGATTTCCATTGTTAGTGGAGTTCAGAATACTCTTTGATTGTAGGTGAACTATAAATCCCAGAAATTACAATAACAAAATTAATCTCCCCCCCCCCCCAAAAAAACTCCCACCAGTATTCAAATTTGTGTGTATCAGGTATTTGTGCCAAATTTGGTCCAGTGAATGGAAATACATCCTGCAGATGAGAGTGCTCTTTGATTGTAGGTGAACTATAAATCCCAGCAACTATAGCTCAAACTCCATTAGTGTTCACTTTGGGCACATTGAATATTTGTGCCAAGTTTAGTCCGGATCCATCACTGTTTGAGTCCACAGTGCTCTTTGGATGTAGGTGAACTACAGCTCCCAAACTCAAGGACAGTGCCCACTAAACCCTTCCAGTAGTTTCTGTTGGTCGTGGTAGTTCTGTGTACCAAGTTTGGTTCAATTCCATCGTTGGTGGAGTTCAGAGTGCTCCGTGATTGTAGGTGAACTATAAATCCTAGCAACAAAAACTCCCAAATGTCAAGGTCCATTTTCCCCAAACTCCACCAGTGTTCACTTTGGGCACATTGAG